CCCTGCTGGTCCTGCTCTTGTATTTACCTTTCATTGATAATCAACTCTCAGATAATGAGCAGGTCCTAGTAACATTTGAAGGATTGTCTCCCGGGACGTGGCATGGTACAAAGGAAAGAGCATGAGATTGGAGAATCAGGAAGGGTTGGGTTTGAGTACTGGCCTGACTGCCCAGTGTGTGTGTGACCTTGGGCAAGTTGCTTCACCTGCTCAGTCCTTAGTATCTCCATCTGTAAAATGGGATTGTTAGGATGAAGTGACAATGTGCAGGAGTACCTAGCAGCAGGCCTGGTGCATGACAGACTCTACATATACATCAGCTTCCTTTTTCCTTCCTCCAGCTGTGCTTTACCAAAGTACGAGACTGATGTTGGGAGTTCCAAACTCTGCCTTCATCTGGCTCGTTAAGGAAGTCATTTCCTCACCTTGAGCCTTGGAGGACTCATGTGGTGAATGATGAGGGATCACCAGAAATTTAGTGCTGCTGTGCTGTGAGTTTATGACTCTGTAGTTGGTCATTTCTGTGTTCCTTGTTACTTTAATTAGAAGATGGGAAAGGTAGCAGGAGACACATGGGTAAAATTTTCTATTTCAACAAGAAATAATGGTGCTTCTGGAAAACAGGCTTACTATGGGAGGTGTGTCACATCTCTGTGTGGGCGTGTCTGCTCCTTCCTTGGCAATGGGAAAGAATAAACTACGCTTTCCACTCATGGAAGTGGGAGCTTCTTTGAGGTCCTTGGTGGCAGAAGAACAGTTGAGCAAAAAGCAAGGTGTTGACAGTATCTTCATAAAAACTGTCAGTCATTCGGGGCGCCTGCATGGCTCAGTTGGCTAAGCTGAAACTCTTGATTTCAGCTCAGGTCATGATCTCATAGTTCGTGGGTTGGAGCCCTGTGTTGGGCTCTGTGCTGACAGTGCGGAACCTACTTGGGATTCTCTCTGTCTCTCTCTTTGCTCCACCCCTGCCCCACCCCACTCGCTCTCTCTCTCTTTCAATAAATAAATACACTTAAAACAGAAACTGTCCATCATTTAATGGGAACCTGCACTGTGCCCTACATTGTTCCAGAAGATTTAGAATGCTCTTGACTTAACAGACATCCTCACACACAATTGCTGACAGCCACGCGTGGCACTGGAATCCCCTTTCCGTCTCCCTGCCCACCACCCTGCCCTTCCCTTCCTCCTTGTTTACTGCTGGTGCAGCAGGGGGGGTGAGAGGGGCACCCTGTCCACCGCCCCCGGGTGTGGCTTTCTCTCACCAGCTGCTAGATTGCCAGCGCACAGTCAGCAGGACCAGCCAGTGTGTGCAGCAAATTGTCCTCAAAATGGGCAGCACCGTGGAATCCTTGGGGAGCTTGAGAAACATACAGGTGCCTGGGCCCTACCCCAGATCAGCTAAAACTGTGGGGATGAGGCATGGGTATTGAGTTTGTTTAAAAACATCCCCAGGTGGGGGCGCCTGGGTGGATCAGTCCGTTGAGCGTCCAGCTCTTGACTTCGGCCCAGGTCATGATCTCACGGTTCATGGGATTGAGTTCCACTGTTGGGCACTGTGTTGACACCATGGAGCCTACTTGGGCTTCTCTCCCCACCTCTCTCTCTGCCCCTCCCTTTCTCCCTCCCTCTCTTTCTCTCAAAATAAAATATATATATATATATATATATATATATACATACATACACACATCCCCAGGTGATTCACATAGCAGTCTTCCCGCCAGCCTGTCTCCATGCCCCATCTGTTTAGATGCTCTCATCTCAGGTGCTTCTCATCCCTCTCCTCAAGCCCTTGACCCTCTGGTAGCTGGACTCAGTCCTTTTATGCACCCTTGCACCCTATTGCTGTCCCTCAGGAATCCTACCCAAGGTCATGGGAACTGCAGACTCAGTGACAGTCAAGTTCAAAACATGAACAAGTCTTTCCAAAGAAACGTCATTCTCCAGTGGTGGATGGGAGGCCTTTTATGTAGCAGGCTTTTATGGACTGGTTTGGGAGCTTGCCCATCATGCAAATGGTGATTTTTTGTTGTTGTTGTTTAAGTTGAGGAGTCTGCTCTGTAGAGGAATCCTCTGTAGAGGAATTCTACTCGTGTCCTCAATGTGCTTAAAATCTAGTAAGAAGAGACTTAAACTCACTTATACTCCAATACAGAATCAAGGGCTAGATTTTGTCATGTAGAGCAGTTGTTCTCAAACTTGGGCCTGTTTAGGGATCACTTGGGAACATTTAAAAACTGTGCATGTTTTGACCACATTCATTCAGAGTCACCCTACTTGACTCTGATTCAGTGTTTTTCGGGTGAGGCCTGAGCCTGGGCCTTTTCAAACAAGCTCCCCAGGAGATTCTCATGTGCACCAAAATTGGAGAAGGATTGGTGTATGTGAATTCAGGGAGGGAAGAAGTCAGGGACAGACTGCAGTCAGGGACAGACTGCAGTTCAGGGTCCTCTTGTCCTTTCCCTGGAAGAAACAGCGCCGTGGCCAGGAGAGGCAGCTGGCATAGGCACTGACACCCTGCCCTCCCCAGGTGCTGTTTCCTGGCATCCCTAACCTGACAGCTGGCTGCCTGAGGACCTCCGCTCAGGCATGTTGGCACATCCTTCCTTGACCAGGAAGTGTCTGCCTGGGGCTGCCACCCTGGCAGTGAGCTGTCACCATTCATCTCCCAGGTCCAGTAATTGGAGTGGACACAGAGCCATCACTTTGGATCAAGGCTCAGTGATCCTGGAGCTGTTTACTCCTGTCATTCATTCCCCCCTGGGTGAGGAGGAAGATGGGGGGAAACATTTACAGGCACTCCTCATATTTCCCTGGCTTCTCATGATGGAGGTGCATGTGAGCCTAGGAGCAGACCGTGGGGTGGGCTGTGGGTGAAGGTGGTGAAGATGCACCCGCCCCCAGGTAACCAGGCCTGGAGAACTGCTGCTGTCTATTTCTGCAGTGGGAGAGCTGAAGGAGGCAGGGGGCGGAGGGGGGAGCAATGGAGATGGTGGGGGAATGAAGTAGTTGAAATCTGATCGGCTCATATCTGTCATTACGTGTGGGTTAGTGCCCGAATGGTTCCCCAAATCCCACTTCATCTCTCATAATTCCAGATAGCTCTGGAGGCCTTCAGGCTGTGGTTTGGGGTGAGGAGAGGGAGTTGTGCAAGACGGGCTCTGAGACTTGGCATGTGCATCATGTAATTAGCCTTGTGGGTCGGGGAGAGGAGCTGCCGTGTGCTGGGCTCTCCCTCTGTATTTTCATGCCGTTCTCACAACGAGCCTATGAAACAGGGTTTGTCGTCCCCATTTTATAGGTAAAGAAACTTGCCTGCAGTCGTAGGGCGATAATGTCACAGCCAGAATGCCAGCCACTAAAGCTTTTAAAATTTTATCGCTCTTCTTGCTTCTAGGGCATTGGGTTGAAGTCAGGAGACCTGAGCTTCAGTCCAGGCCCTGCCACCATTTATGTGACGTGGAACAAATCCCCTCACTTTCCTCCAGTGAGAAATGGGGGCTGGGAGTGGGCCAGGTACTCCATGTCCAGTAGGGACCCCTGGCTCCGTGTGTCCATTCAGAGTGGCTCATGGTCTCCTTGGGGCATTGTCAGAGGCTCACTGGCATTTTGGAGTGCTGTGGCTCCTTTTTGGACTTTGATCTAGGGGCATAGGACCTATCTCTCTTTACCCAATAGAGGTTTCCTTGAAACAAAATGTGATCACTGTGTATTTGAAAAAAATGTGTAGATCAGATCATCCATATCTGAAATGCTAATGTGGCTACTCACAAGGCAGCATTTTAGATTTATAGCCTCATTTGTAAAAGGAAGACAGGGATATCCTTTCTGAATTTCTTACTCTAAAATTTAAGGGATCTGAGAATCCTTTTATTGTGGGATTATCCTCATCCCTTTTCTCCTGAGTAGAAAATTTTGTATCTTGCATTTGCTTCAAGTGATGTTGTTAATTTAGTTCATTGGGCCTAGAAGGACTCTTCCTGCCATCTAAGATACTTCTTAAGGGCAGTCTTCTGGAATGACCAGTCATTTCACTGCTAACTTTTTAGGAACTTTACTAAATTCTCATTATCCAAGATTCATCTCTGTTTATTGCTTTGAGATAACCTCGGGTAATGGGGACTTCAGGGTTATTCTTTGAGGCTTATGCAACAGTTTCAGAGATCACCAAGAGCTGTGGACAGGTTCTCAGGTCCATGGGGGAGTGGATTTTCCAAATTATAAATTAGAAACTCCACAGCTGTGATTTCTAATCTTGGTCATTTCTTTGATACGTTCCCATCTCTGTGTCTTCGTTGCTTCCTTTCTAACAGTGGAGAAATTAGAAAGCCAAAGAGATTGTGCCAAGGTAGAATATTGCCCGACAAGGTGCCTGTGAGTTTCTTGCTGTTTTATAGACCATTTACTTAGTGTTTTACGGTGTACAGACATCATTCCAGTTGGCTCTTGTAGCACTCCTGTAAAATAAATCCAACAGCTGCATTTTTTTATTTCTGTGTTGTGTGAATCGGTACCCTGTTTATTACAAAAAGAACTTAGAGTGGCATAAAACAGGACCAAACCACCAAGGAGATCAGTCAGGAAAGGAAAAATATAAGAGCTAATGCTTGTTGAGAGTCATCTGTGTACCTCGGACAATTCCAAGTGCCCTTAAATGTATTAGCTCATTCGTATGGCTGTCTTGTGAGGTAGGTACTATTATTATCCCTATTTTTACAGAAAGGAAAGTGGAGGCTTAGTGGTTCAGCAACTTATTCACTGTCAGATGATGGAGCTCACAGCCGTCTGTGGTAAGTAAGGGATAACGTTAGTGTAAACATATGCATGGCAAGAATTACCACTGTTTTAGAAAGGAAAGTGAGCTGAAGAATGTGGGTAAGTGGCTTGCTCAAGGTGGCAAAGCCAGGACTGGAGTCTTGGTCTTCTGTCTCTTCGTGCTGTTTCCACTGCCTCACGTAGCATCACCCTTCTCAAAATGAAAAACATATGTCTTTCAGAACCTGGCAATTGGGGCAGGAGCTGTCGGATCTTTGCAGCTGACCTACATCTCGAAGGTAATGTTCGCCTGGAGCTCTGGGAATTCATGTTCTCTAAGTAGGTTTAGTATCTAAACAAGAAATGTCCAATTCTTTGGGCATTAGCATTTGGGCGTGTTCTGTGGGCAGTGAAGGGCTCCCCTGTCCTCACGTTTGCCTTTGGAAACTTTGCTGCTGATCAGAGCTGGGGGGAGTGTGGCTCTCAGGTTCTTGGAGGGTGAGCCTGAAGCCTCTTCCTTCTGGGACAGATCAGTGAGGCTCCTAGCTCTTGCCAAGGAGGTATCGGTGGTGGGAGTAGAGTGGGGAATGACCTTTTTTTGTAATTGGGGTAAAAAGGAGCAGAAAAACAATCACAAAACCCCTTAGTGACTATAAAAGATTCTCCCAAGGGGTCTTGTTTTAAAGGAGCAGCTCAGAGTTGGGGCTGTGCTGGATTATCAGTCACCTGGACAGGATTACTGGAGGGAAGAAGGCTAAGAGAGCCCCAGGAAGGCACTCAGTTGTGCCAGGGAGCTATTCAGCAGCCAGATGACTGCTGGAGGGTCTGGTAGGCGGGCCAATGGGCCTTCCCCAGTCCAGTTAGTGCTGATGGTATGAGATCAGCACCCCCTTCAGAGCAGAGATGGGTTGGGGGTGGGGGTTGTGGGCTGGTTGATGGTACCCACGTGTAGCTGCTGAATTTAGCTTCTTTGAGCGGCCCCTCCCTGGGGCAGGCACCAGTGCTGACCTGTGATGCAGCAGAGATAAAAAAGGCCGGGGGGGGGGGGGGTTTAGAGCCTCGCCAGAAAGAGGAACTCTTTGTCCAATGAGAAGAGCCAGGTGGCGCCCAGCCAGCACAAAGGTTCCGGAAGCCCTGCTTTCCCCCACACACCCCTCACTTCAGGCCTCTTGGGGAGTCTGCTTCCTTGTCCACATTCTCCCACCCTCAGGGGTTGAGACACAGTAGAGGGACCCTGATCTGAGTGACTGCTGGCTCCTTTGCATAACGAGCTTTGGGAGCTCTTGTGTTCAGCCTTCCATCCCAGCTGGCGGAGGTGGGGGGATGCGTTTGGAGGTGGAGGCGGCTGCAGGGGCTGTGGGCAGCGTCTGACAGACACAGCTGGGCACAAAGACAGAAGATGCAGGGCAGGGTTTGAGCGGATTAGAGAGAGGAGATAATGACCCTGGGGGAAGGGGGTAGGGCTTTAAGCGAAGCTTTGCTAGCACAGCTGTGGGCAATTTGTGTTTGCCTTGTGGTGAGAGATGTGGCCGCCCCCGGGGCTAGGCCAGCCAGAGGCTTGGGCCTTCCCCTCTCCTGTTGGGTCTTGCTGTGAGCTCATTAGGTCTTTCTCCAGGAGGTTTGGAGGAACAGAATCAAAAGAGGGGGAGCAGAGAACCTCATTATTAGTGAAACTCCGAACCTTCTCCTGTTTGAGAGGGTTTTGTAGATTTTTTGTTTTTGATTGGGGAAAAGTGGATACGATCTCCTGCTGAATCATGATTTATAAATGCAGCTCAGATGAGGGCTTTTAGAATCCTCAGTTTCGGAGGCTGCGTCATTTAGAAAGGATGGGCTTGCCTCTTAGCCCTTCTTGGGAGATGCAGGCCTGGGTGGGTGTTTTGCAAAAACCCACAGCTGCCACAGGGTCAGGTTACATGGAGCTGAGAGCCTTTAACTCCTGCCTGACTCAGTGCCAGAAAGCAGGGGTTTTCCCAGAAAAACATTTAGCTGTGGTACTGGCATCAAATTCAGCATTCCAGGTTATTTCTTGTTAGCCCCTAGGTAGTGCCCCCCGGCCTCGGCCCCCCCCCCCTTAGAGTAAAGCGTATAACCAGTGTTGACCTGGCTTGTCATGTATGTGTGGTCTCTGTGGGGGGTGGGGGCTGCGTGCTCTTCCATAGTTCTTTCTCGAGGGCTAGTGTTGGGAAGAAGAGTTCCTTCATAAAGGCCAACAGAGATGAAAGTTCTTGACTTGATGTTGTCCAGGGCACCGATGATAGAACCATGTTTTGAGCAAACTGGGAAATGACTGAAGGTGGTCTTGGTGCCATCACCTTCTCACTTTGCCAGATGGCTCTTCTCTCGTATACAGCCATCCCCAACGTGCCACTCCCAGCTACTGTCCCCCTTTGTCAGGGCCTTGCCCTCAGCCAGCTATAAGGAAGACCTTCCTAGAACACAGGTTCTTAACTTCTTGCTGTTGAGGGGTGAGGGTGGTCGTTACAGATCCTTCTAAGAGTTCCATGAAGAGCGTTGACTCCCTTTCCAGCTAAATTATGTATACGTGTACACAACCTGGTTTTGCCTGTAATTTCAGGGCTCATTGACCCCCTGAAGCTGGTCCAGAAGCCCCTACCTAGAAACCCTCCAACCTTTCTATGTAGTTGACTCCTTCTTCCTCTGTTCTTGATGCCCACTTCAAGGGGCAGGGTCACCCTGGACACTGGGGCAGAGCTACCCCAGAGCTTCAAGACCTTGTTCTGCTGCTGCTGCTTCTGCCAGAGGGGCCTCAGTGCTACTTCCGGCCAGGGGACGACAGGATGGGGCTGGCTAGCAGTGCCCTGCCACTGATGAGTTTGCTGCTCCTGTGGTCTGTATTTGATCAGATAAGAGCAAGTTCCTGAGAGTCTGTTGCGCTGTAGAGTGGCCTTATCTGCGTCACTCTGTGGGTGACCCATGCCCATACCACGCCTCACATCCTGACCTCCTTTCATTGCTTGCATAATTCAGGACCCGCCAGTCAACCACTGCTATGCAGCTACTTAACTGTGGCCACCTCAGGGCATGCAGATGGTAGCACTTGGCCACACCCACTATAGTTAAGCTGGCAGCCATACTTTTTAAGGAACCTCTGTTCCTTCACTACATCTAAGGGAGGCTGCACTGTCTGGTCTGATCACCAGCATGAGGTGGGGTGGAGGCCAGAGGGCTTATCCTTCCCATGGGGGGGCAGGGATTGTGCTGCCACGTCCCCGGATGTCGGGGAGGCCAGAGCTACCTTTCCAAGCCTGCACCTTGGCCCTTCTCCCTGAAGGACACAGCACAGCTAGAGATATGATTTCCTTTTTCTCTTCTGCCATTCTGTGATTATAAGAAGGGGACTAGTAATTGCATTCTGGCTTTGCTAATTGGGATGCTGATCAGAAATTTTGAGGGTGTGACCCTTGCCGAATAGCCTATCAGGGCAAAACTAGAACTGATTCAGTGAAGAGCTAGCTGCTTGCCAGATATTCCTTCTGTGGTTAGGCATGGGGTAAATTATAGATGTGCATGCATGTAATCACGCACGTCCCCTGACTGAAAACTGGATAAACATATAAAAACAAATGAAAAACCAGATGATCTCTTAGTTTCTGTTGCTGTAATAAGCATGTTGGTAGCAGTCTCTCAGTACAGGCTGCTAATAAGTTGTGGTCTAAGCTGACTGTTTTGTCATCCAACCTGGTGAAAAGTCTCTGCCAGTGGTACTTTCTCTGGTCAGCGATAAATGACAGTTTCTGGGAGAAAGAGGTGCAACTCCAAATAAGCCCAAGAGGGTCTCAAAGTGCCCAACTTTTCAAAGCCATCCAAAAGCTTGAAGTAGCAAAGAAGCCATGAGAATTGTGGGATCTGAGGGCCCGGCAGTTAGTTCTGTGATGGTCAGAGCTACACAGAAACCTCTGGAGGGTAGGGCATGCAGGTATTTATGGTCACAGGGACCTGCAGGGGGAACATGGATGCTGAGGGACGGAGCAAGAAAATGAGTCACTGACAGACAGAACATCAGTCACATACTGTGGTTCAGATGGAATTCCAGGATCCGAAACCCAGGAAAACCAGGTATCGCAGGGGCAAGGACTATGATGTCATGGAGCTCTGCTGCATGGTTTCTGGAAATGACGAAGACATGCCTGAATTTGGGTAGTCAGTGACTGAACTCAGGATATGTGTGTTCACCTTTGCCTAAACCTTTGTGTTTCAGGATCGTTTAAAGACTTTCATTAGGCCCTAAGGCCTCCACCTCACATGATGGTGAACATATCAGAATATAACCATCTCCGTGATTAAATATAATTGGCTGTAAAATATTTGAAAGGATTTCAGTCACCTTACATTTGGAATGATTTGGCCGGGTAACTCTAATTTTCTGATTGGCTATAATTTCTTAGCAATCTTGCACATCCAAGGATTCTTATGAACTAAGAAAATCAAAGCTACTAATTATTTTTGAATATAATGAAATTTTTTTGACTGTTTAATCGAAACATTAATGAAGTTGTCTAAATGTGATATCTTGCAAACATTTGTCAAAGAGGTTTATATAACCTTACATAGACATTTAATGATTTATTTATTAATGTTGACTCTGCTATCTTCAGTTTGTATGTTGGAGGGCAGGCATTTTTTTCAGGTCTCATACAAGTAGGAGAAGGCCCTGGCTTGGGAAGGGGACTGGGAGAATGTGTCCGCAGGGGTATGACAGTGTGGAAATAGTTCCTAACCTAGGGTCTTGGGGGGGAAGGTGCCTCCTTAGAAATCCCAGGTACAGTGGTGGAGGCCTGTTCCAGGGAGTTCAGCCTACATCAAGAGTAGTCACCTAATGTTTGTGGGCATATGATGGAATATGGTTTGTTTTCCTTTATTGGTTCAGCATGTTTGAAGCAGAGTGAGAGGGGTTCACCTATGCACATAGTCAGGCGTGTACATGAAAGGGGTGGGATTGAGAAGACAATAGGAAATAACAGGAGCTTTGAAAATATTTCTACTTTCTTCTGTTCTCTTTAAAAAAATTTTTTTTTATGTTTTATTTATTTTTGAGAGAGAGAGAGAGAGAGAGAGCAAGCGGGGGAGGGTCAGAGAGAGAGGGAGACACAGAATCCAGAGAGGCTCCAGGCTCTGAGTTAGCTGTCAGCACAGAGCCCAATGCAGGGCTTGAACCCATGAACCGCGAGATCATGATCTGAGCCGAAGTCGGATGCTTAACCGACTGAGCCACCCAGGCGCCCTCTCTTCTGTTCTTTTAAATAGATAAGTATGTTCTGATTCCATGGGCCCCTCTTATTTTCGTGGTTAAGCAGTTAGGGTGGATATAAAGAACATTGATCATCGTGTCCAAATGACCTTTCTGTGCACTGTAATTGGAATCTATGTGTGTATGTAGCAATACCACCTTTAATTTGGAGAACTGTTTAGGGAGGGGGCCCGTGGTTGAGAGAGGAGTGGAATCTTCTAGTGTGAATTGGGCAAGTACAGGTTGTGTGGTCCAAAGAGAATTTTGTCAGGACTCAGTGGTTTTTAAAAGCATTTTTGCAAAGATAAAGATTAAGATAGACGTCAAGATAGTGGTTATCTCTGAGGGGTGGGAGTGGGATTCTATCAGGCTTCTAAGAAAGAAGACTGATAGTGGCCTATTTCTTAATCCGGATCATGAATATAGGGTTTCCATTTAATTATTACTCTTTAGAATGTTTATATATGTTTTATATACTTTTTTGTGTGGGAAGTTTCACAATAAAAAAATTTGGGAAAAAAAATGTTTTACAACAATGTTAGAAACTTACTCTTGTTCCTTTTATTTATTTGATTTAGGTGAGCATAGCTACACCAAAGCAGAAACCAAAAACTCCATTTTGCTTTGGTAAGTACTGAATCGCTGGAGGATGGGTTCTCTGAACACTCTTACAGCAACTTCCTCTTTGTGTGGAGATGGTCCTGTGATTACATGTGACCTGTGCCCTGTGTATATGAGTGACTTCAGTCACAGCGATGTTGCTAGATCTCACGTGATACTGTTTTCTTTCATCTCCCTGTGAGCACCATTAATAACATAAGACCAAGCTACAGGGAGAAGTGACCATTCCGTTTTCCGGACTCCACAGGGCGGGGTACAGGTATCTACTGGTAGCTTCTGGGAACCCTCATCTCCGCCTCTGTAGTGGCATGCTCAGGAAAGGTGGAGACTTGAGGCGAGCTGGAGGAGCACTGGAAAAAGAGTATCCTGTCCAGTGTCTCCATGTTGCCAAATGAGTGAAGAGTTGGGGGAGTGACACAGGAAGCAGAGTCACTCAGTGGCTGCCTCTAGTCATTAATTAAATCATCAGTGTTTATTTGACTCCTACTATGTTCTCATTACTGTACAAAGTGCTTCAAGCAGACACTAATGAGTAGCTTCTGTTATTTATCTAGGGCGGTTCTGTAAGCTCCATGAAGCAGGGATATCCCTTTGCTCTGTCACTGCTGTATCCTACCACGAACAGTGGTTTGTGGCATGTGTTGGGTGTTCAATAATATTTGTTGAAGGAAAGAATTAACTAATGAATTCTACGTCTACCGCATGATGCTTAATTTCTTATAGTTCTGCCTGCTTTATGCTAGAATAAAATAGTCACTTGAGCTGTCGTCTCTCCCAACTGCAGGCTGGTTTAGGCTTCTTTGGTTTTCTCATTGTCCCATTTCTTTCAAATATCATTGCTAAGCTCAGAAAGGACTGTCTCAGATTTTGTGGTCAGCAGATCTAAAAGAGATAAATAATAAACCCGGAAATAAATTATTGACCTCATGGAGTGCTCAGAGGAAAGAACAGGTTGAAAATAAGGTCAGGGTCACAGATTTGATCTCAGGCAAGCGTTGTTCCATTTTCCAACCACAGACGGGATTCCTAACCCAGGCCAGTTGTGCGAGTGGAAACAAGGAGCACTGGGTCCAAAATTATATATGTATCATCATGACTGTAAATCTGTTAGCACCTTTAAAAAGCTGTTCAAGCATGTGTCTTGATGGTGGACTAGAGGCCTCATTGCTGTACAACAGTATATTAAGGGGGTTGTTAAAACATTAACGACAAGTGATGGAATAAATTCACCCTTTTAAAGAGAGAGCAACTGTAGCCTGCTGCTTCCCTGATATTCACGCAGCTGACTTTGCACCATGGCAAATGTCTTCATCTGCTTTGTAGAGTTTTCTACCTTGTTACTTCGGCACCTTGGATTTGTGGAGTCTTTTTCTCTTGCATGTGTTCTGACCTGGGTCTTTTTTCTTCCGCATGACTATTGCAGTCATCAATGCCCTCTCTCAGAGGTATTTCCTTCAAGCTAATGACCAGAAAGATCTGAAAGACTGGGTTGAGGCCCTGAACCAAGCCAGCAAAATTACCGTACGTATGATTCCTTCTTTTTTCTGGAGGGAGTCCATGCCTCTTTTCAGCACGTGGCCCATTATGTGTGGGGAAAAGCTCAGATGAGGGCAGGGGCTTTCCCAGGAGCCCGTTCAGAGCCAGTTCCCCCTACCTCTTCTTATACCTTGGCTAACTAACCACAAGTTGAACTGAGAGTTTGAGTTTGAATCAAATTCAAGGGGAAGTTTATGGAGCGTCCCCTTTGTGCTTCCTGGGAGGGCTCCTGCTCAGTCGTGTTTTGGGTAATTCTGGCGTGCTGATTCAGAGTGTGGTGGGATTGGAAGACGGATTGCTGACTATGAGAAGCAGAGTACAGGGAAAAGCATATAAAGAGGGAAGTCAGAAGTTTTTACTGGCATGGAGGGGGGAGGTACTCTTCTTCCTTTAAGAGGTGACCTGCGGGTCAGTCCACGTCATCTACCCGTTTGAAAGCATCAGTGAGCTAGTTCACCGACTGCTCTTTGAGTAGTCTCATTCTCTTTGACTTGGCTGGTGAACTCTTTTCTTCTTCCTTAGAAATACAGGAAAAGAGAGAAGGGTAGGAAGGAGGAGAGGAAAAAGTTTATGTTTTGGGGGTAAAAAACTAGACCTTTTATAAATAATAGGCAGACTTGTGGCATGTAAACACCATGGTTTGTATGCTGAGAAGATTGATACTCTTGTTTTAGTTATTTCTGTTTTAACTTTTTATTTTAATTCCTGTTAACATAGTGTTCTATTAGTTTCAGATGTACGATATAGTGATTCAACACTTCCATACAACACCTGGTGCTCATCACATGTGCACTCCTTAATTCCGCTCACCTATTTAACCCATCCCTCCACTTTCCTCCCATGTGGTAACCATCAGTTTGTTCTCTGTAGTGAAGAGTCTGTTTCTTGATTTGCCTCTGTCTCTCCTTTTTCCTTTGCTTGTTTGTTTTCTTAAATTCTGTAGATGAGTGAAATCAGCTATATGGTAGTTGTCTTTCTCTGACTGACTTATCTTGCTTAGCCTTATACTCTCTAGCTCTATCCATGTCCTTGCAAATGACAAGGTTTCATTCTTTTTTTATGGCCAAGTAATATTCCACTGTGTGTATGTATATATATAAATATACACACGTATATATGTATATACATCTATATATACACAAACTTATATACATATATATATTTACCACTTCTTTATCCATTCATCAGTCATTAGATACTTGAGCTGTTTCCATATCTTGGTGATTGTGGATAATGCTGTTATAAACATAGGGGTGCATGTATCCCTTTGACTTAGTGTTCTTGTATTATTTGGGTAAATACACATTAGTGCAATTGCTGGATCATAAGGTAGTTCTGTTTTTAACTTTCTAAGGAACCTCCATATTGTTTTCCGCAGTGGCTACATCCTCACCAATACCTCTTGTTTCTTGTGTTGTTGATTTTAGCCATTCTGACGGGTGTGAGGTAATATCTCATTGTAGTTTTGATTTTGCGTTTCCGTGATATAAGTGATGATGAGCATCTTTTTATGTGTCTATTGGCCATCTGAATGTCTTCTTTGGAAAAATGTCTGTTCATGTCTTCTGTCCACTTTGTAACTGGAAGATTTATTTTCTTTTTTTCTTTAAATCTTTTATTTGAGAGAGAGCACACAAATGGGGAGAGGGACCAAGAGAGAGAGAATCTAAAGCCGGCTCCACGCTCAATGCGTAGCCCAATGAGGGACTCAATCCCATGACTCTAGAGTCATGATCTGAGCGGAAATCAAGAGTTGGATGCTCAACCAGCTGAGCCACCCAGGTGCCCCTGGATGATTCATTTTCTTATCGTACGGTCAGACTAGTTTATATTCTAGTTGCTTCCAATGGTAACCATTATGTACTGGAGCAGATTATTCTCCCAAATACCTCAGGGTTTCTGTGAATAAATTAACAGAAGAAATCTGTACACCTATCCAGTGCTGGGGATGCCAGATCCAAGCAGAGTACAATTCAGTCATTGAGGTGGTCTGGCTTGTTAGCTTGTTATTTTGATAAACTTTGATACCCTCGTGAAAAGAGAACCGAAGGGAGGGAGGGAGAGTGCAGCTACTTCACATTTGTCTGCTAACCCATATGCTTGTGCACATGATTCTAGAGTGTGGATCTTAGTACAGGTTTTCTTTGTTCATGATGGAGTCTTCACCCTTCTGTGTCTGACACCCGTTTGGACCTTCCTTCAGTGTCTAATACTTTATTCTCTTTCAGTATTCCCTCCTGGCTTTCCTTCTCTGTTGCTGCCTGGGCATAAAGTCTGAGAGGCAGTGGGGGCCTTTCTTTTGTGCCTGAGCCTAGAGTTGCTGTAAGCAGTGAGGTCCCTCCATGTTTTTTCTGGCTCTGTGGAACAGAAGTCATCAGCCACAGGAGAGGGGAACGAGCATGGCAGTGCCCAGAGGCTGGGAGGCCAGAGGCTTGCTGTAATGTCAGAGCCTTCTCCTCGGTCTCCATAGTCTCCAGGATCCCCCTAACTTTTCTTTGCTCTGTTCATATGTCTCTTCACTCCTCCTGCCAAAGGTCCCATGGGATAGAAGGAAGTGGGCGGATACTCCATTTCCTCATCAGTTTGTGCCCTGGAAGGGGTTACCCCTTTTTCTGCTTCCATATCATCCTGTATCTTGTGTCCTTCCTAAGGGAGGCTGGGATGAAGGAAGCTATGGGGCTGGGCAGCACATCAATGGCATGCACACTTATTTTAGGGCACCTTATATACGGAGCGCAGCATCAGGCACTTTGGGAGATACAGAGATTAAAAAGGGAACACATAATGAATCGAGCCAAGCTTTCACACGTGCCATATTATTCACCCCTCTCACATCACTCATATAAATGGTTTTACTGCCCTTTTTTAGATGAGTAAAATGGAAATCAGAGTTTTGCCCAAAGTCTAGAGATGGGTAAATTGTAGAGCTGAGATTAAACACCCAGGATCTGTGACTTCCAAGACCTAAAAGAGTTAATAGAAATATTTAAAGGGGCACCTGGGTGGCTCAGTCCGTTAAGCATCTGACTTTGGCTCAGGTCATGATCTCATGATCTCATGGTTCATGGGTTAGAGCTCCACATTGGGCTCTGTGCTGACAGCTCAGAGCTTGGAGCCTCCTTCCGATTTTGTCTCTGTCTCCGTCTCTCTCTCTCTCTCTGTCTCTCTCACATACATGCACTCTTTCTCACTCTCTCAAAAATAAACGAATAAACATTTAAAAAATTTTAAAAATATTTGAAAAGAGCAACAGTTGTAAGATATGTTCGATTACACACCACTTTTACATATAGGGCTTCATTTTAGCCTCATATAAAAAAGCCTTAAGTGTTATTATTTCCGCTTATAAATGAGGTGATGCAAATACCTAGAGATTAAAGTGACTTGCCCAAGTTCATGGAACCAGGATAGATCCAGTTTTTCTACCCACAGATCACTGTTCGTTTTGTGCTAAGGCCGTTGAGTCTTTATCACTGAAGAAAATGGTGTGCCCTGGCTTATACCTGCATTACTCCCATCTCTGCCTCCATTACTGTATGACCTGTGTGTGTGTCCGTGCCCTCCCTCCCTTCTTCTAAAAGGGGCATCAGTCATTGGACTTTGGGCCCACCCTAAACCCGTATGACCTGATCTTAATTTTATTACATCTGCAAAGACCCTGTTTCTAAATAAGGCCACATTCTGAGTTTGTGGATGAGCAGTTTCAGAGGGACATTATTCAACCTGCTACATTTCCCAAAATGGTTGAAAATTGAGCAGTAAAAGTAAAGCACAGCCCCTTGCCTTTATTGGATTATTCCTTATTGCTGTCTAGAAATCCTGGTGGTAAGTAAGAGGAGTCCCTATAACTAACTAACTAACTAACTTAACTAACTTTCTTCTTTCTTTCTTTCTTTCTTTCTTTCTTTCTTTCTTTCTTTCTTTCTTTCTTTCTTTCTTTCTTCTTCCTTCCTTCCTTCCTTCCTTCCTTCCTTCCTTCCTTCCTTCCTTCCTTCCTTCCTTCCTTCC